AGTTTAAGGGTATTACACAGAAACATATCAAGGGAACATGAATCAAATATGCACTTTTATTCATTTACAATAAACTCATAAAGTACATCATACTGATTGAAGGTAAGGGCTTACAAAACTGTCTAACAGCTCCCACTTGCACTTAGGTCCAATCAGGTACAAGCCGGAGTCCCATGCTTTCCACGTGTTTCTCAAACACTCTAGTATTTATGTAACCACTCTAGCTAGAATGGAAAGCTGAATTATTCTATCTCAATTGGTCCATCTTTCACCAAAAGAAAGTATTATTTTCTAGTTGCCTTGAATCTGATTGGGACCTAACAGATATGTCCAAATCCAGCTATTAAATGTTGATCATGATTAGGGGTAGCAATTTTAAGCCAAATCCGCTGAACCCACCCAACCCACATAGTATCTAACCCGCCCATTTACTTGACAGGTTGTGTGATCAACCCATCATCCAATCCATCCATTTAAATGGGTTGGGTTGTGGATAACCATTGGGTTAATCATTATAACATAAGTATTAATTCGTTAGCTTTTTTTTAATTTTCTTCACTTGAATTAAATAATTTATAATTAATGTATTAATTTTCTATTAATTATTGACTAAATTTAGTTTTGTCTTGAATCAATACAGTTCACCCAACATAAACCCAAATGAATTTGACCCGAGTTCGGACCACTTCAACATGGTCTGACCCGATCCAACATATACTGATCTGGGTCGACTCGAATCCGAAATAGACCCCGGGGGGATGGTTCGGTGCCGCTTGCTCTGGTCGATTTGGGTCGTCTGGCCCAACCAATATTCACACTGTCTGATCGATCTGGGTCGACCCGAATCCAAACAGTTTGGGCTGGATGATTCGGCCTTTGTGTGCTTTGCCCAATCTGGACAGTCTGCCCAACCAATACACCGCACAACCCAACCCGAATGCAGACCAATCCGAGTTAGTTACATTAACCCGTTTCGTGTAAGCTGGTCCAATCCCGAGCCCGTGCACAAACCTGATATGGTCTGGTCCAAGTCAATCCACCATTGACTAAACTGGTCTGGTCCGGTCCGACTGGACTAATCCATATCTAAATGGTTCAACCGCCCTTAAACCTAAGTGGTTTAAGTTGGTCTGACCAGTTTGAACCTAAGTGGTTCGATCAAACCCGGAATCCGAACATAATCAAATGGCTTCACTGCTTATGTAAAAATAACATGCATGTAATGTGATTTGAACCTTCACCACTTATGTAAATAGTAAGTACCACCAAGCTACAACCAACTTATATGTTACGAGAGAGAAAATTTATTTTTTAAGTCCATAAATATAAGATTAATGGGTTTGAACGAATTAAATTGGGTTAAAACGAATTTGGGTTAAACCCAACCCATTTAATTTTATATAACTGGATTCACAGGTTTGATGACCATCCCTAATCATGACCATCCATTTAATGGCACCAACATCTAATATTGATGTGCCCCCATGCTCAACCATTACTCACTTCAATGGGTTCGATCAATGAATTTGGTTCATTTGTAGAATAGAAGTTATTCACGGATACTTTTGGGTATTTATTAAAATATACATCTGAATAATGCACTATGTACAATGTGGGTAGAGTGGTAATTTAATACTTTTCACTTGCCATTAAAAATGCAGAATGGGGATTCCTTGGGGGCATCTAAAAGAGAGGTTTTAGATAATTTTCCAAATATAAAAGAAATTATTTGTATTGACAAAGGCAAAGTCAGAAAAGGAGCATTTTCTGTATTTTTTTATTGTATTTCTATCTGCTGTCTTCATTAGGGTGTGCAGCATGCACACTTTTCCAAAATGAGATGTGCCTAAATCAGACTTATTCTTTCCCTTGAAAAAACTATTTGAAAAGGCCAAAAACAAAGTGAATACATAGTGCAAAATAGGTGGATGCCTTAATCTGACTGCTACCTTTTTAAAATCTAGTTCTCAAGAAAAACGCCTTTTTAAGAAAATAAAGACTTTCCTTTATTTGCACTTGTACAAAAGCATGGGAGTACAGATGAGATGAGCTAAATGCAAATTCTGATTTCTTTTTGTTTTAAATTTTACTTTGTAGTGTAAATGAAGTAATATGAATCCCGAAGCTAAGCATGAGAAAATTCAAAGCAAAAGTCAACAAATTAAATTGTATTGCATGCAAACGGAGCGTTGACTTTCTTATTTTCTTAGCAACCAAGGGCCTTCAAAAACGATTAGGGGTTAAGTACTGCTTATGAAAAATCTAAAGAATAAAAAATTGCAAAAGATCAACGTTATGAGCAATCTAGGGCTGCTTTTGTATGAAGCTAAGTTATCAGGTGTGAGCACCGTCTTCATGGTCTATCTTGATATCTGGACCAGTAAAAGAAGATGAAAAAGCAACCTTCTTTTTTCTTTTCTTCTCTTTAACAGAAAGTGTAGTTAGATCAAATAATTACCTGACCGTCAATATTTTCTTTCTTTACCAGAAGAAAGATGTCGTGTTCATTTTCTCTGGTGTTAACATGTTCTGCAAGGGAGTGTTTAGATTCAGTTTCTTAATATAACAGAAATGAATTGATTGTGGGTAAATTTAAATAGCTTCTTGTAGGTTTTTTTTATTTTTATAAATTAAAAAACACAATATTTTGAGAAGGTTGAGAAGTAAAGGAGTTGACAGGAGAGAGAGAGAGAGAGAGAGAGAGAATAAAGATGAGACCCAAAATCAGTTCATTATCTTTATGGGTCCAGTCCACTATGGATTTGTTTTTGGTCTTGACAAGCTACCCATTAAGAAAAGGTTGCCATATAAAGTCAAGACTGGGGAAGGAAAAGAAGATGCTATTGCTGGGCATTATTGACAAAAAAGGTCAAGATATTAAAAATTCCATGAATATGTCAACTTTACCCTGTTTCATTTTTCCTTTTTTTTTTTTTTTGGGTGGGGGGGTAAGTTGTTTCGTTCTTGAATTTGTGCTCGTATCTCCTAAGACTTCATCTCCACAAGGGGGAAAAGAATAAATAGATAAATAAAATGGAAAAAAAATAGAATGGTTCACATTAGGAATGTAAGCTGCCAAACATTTTCTAGGTTCTATTAATTCATTCACCAAGTAAAAACTTAGCCGGGCTGGATTATAGTGCCGGAGACAAACCAAACTTCCACATACCCTTGGTGGAATGAATATGACAGATAGGCTTAATGGGTCATATCTCTTCATCAACTGCAGACAGATAAATCTGACGAGGCTTTCTTTTGTATGCAGATCCTGGGTTGTATTTAACAACTTAAGAAGCTAGTTTCTCTTCTCTTTAAGGGTAATATTCAGTGCATTGTTTATGAGAATACTTCTAAGCTCAAATAAAGGAACTCTGGTGTTTAGATCAATCAAAACGAATAACTATACATGAAATTTGGCTTTTGCTCATTCTCATTAAAGCCTCTTTTGCCAACCATTCAGCAGCTTGTTGTGCATTTTCTATGTGCCTGATGAGATCTACAGCTTCCTGATTCCTCATTACCTACAAATATACCATGGAGAAATAGACCTTGAACAATGCTTCTATATGTTGAAAGAAAAGGAGATATTATGTCACACTAAGAACTTAATGAACTTCTGTTTTACTATAATCTGGGATGAAGTATGAGGATGTTATGTACCTCCCATATGCCATTGCTTCCCAGGATGATGAACTCTGTATCAGAGTCAATCCTCACAACACCAACAGCTGGTTCAGAGCTTTTAGAAGGCTTACTACTTCCAATTCCCAATTCGCATGCCAATATGCGCACCTTTGGCATAAGGGCACCTGTTCAAATATCAGGACGGCAGCAGCAGCAACATTTGTCAATGTCTGTGGGCTTATCTAAAGTCGAGCGAAAACTGGGTAAAGACCCAGGGTATTAAAGCATACATAAGGGCATACCCGTAATGAGACTCAGGGACCAATGTCTCCAATACCCACGTTGGTGCTTTTTGTTTATTTGATTAGCCAAACCATCTCTACATACAACAGCTCTGTAGTCACCCATGTTTCCTATCACAACCTTCTCTCCATTTATCACAATGGCAGATGCTGAACCATCTTTCCTCAATCTCCTATTTCCTTTGTCTCCTCCATGCATCTTCAATCTTGTATAAAGATGTGCCTTCCTCATTGTCTCTTTACTCTTCCTTCTAATATGAGACTGGAAAATACCAAAGTCATAAAAATATTTAAAGCTAAGCTAATAGTCATATACATAAGCACGAAGTACCATCTGGATCTTATTTGTTTTTGTGATTTGTAGTCCTATAGCTAAATCATGTGAAAAGTAACAAAAGGCTATCAATGGTGAGAAATGAACACCATAGAGTGATGTCAATGTAAAAGGGATGCCTCATCTCCTGAATTTGAGCTTCATATCTTGACTATGTAAACATCAACAATGGTTGTATGACAAGTACTGTTTTAAATTCAGAATGAATCGAGGATTTTGAGGATTGTAGACCCACTTGGATGGGAAAGATACTGAACAGCATGACTTTACAGTGAAATATAAATTCCTAGTTTAGTGCCAAGTGCCAACACTATCTAATCATTTTAATTTTAGGACATGGAGTCCTAAATTGAAGCACATCTGCATGTGGGGGGGATTAGAATCCATTTATATTAGTTATGAGAGGAATGATAATTTACTTGACAGGGATTACCTCTTTGAGCTTCTTATCAAACAGCTGAGATTGCAAATATTTAGTGACCCCATCTCCCACTTCAGCATCAAAGACTCCAAACACCCACACTTCTAGATTATTCACTTGCTCTCTCCTGACCACAACTCTGTCCAATCCCGAGTTGTCTGATCCAAGTTTCTCCGACCTATCATCATTGATAACATGAATCCCATGCGAGACAGGATTCATCCATGAGGCTCGTTTGCTGCCCTCAGAATTTCCTTTGAGAAATCGTCTAAGCCGGAATGCCTAGCCAATAAAACAAGCATAGTCTATCACAATCCAGTTATGTATACATAATTCAAAGCTACCCATTTTGGGATACTTAGGTCCATTCCTGCAACTAAGTCTAACTCTTTACCCTTCATGGACCGTACAGAAGCATACAGACATGAATACCTGCATGAGTTTGAGCTTTTATAAAGAATCTGCAAGCATCCATGCATGTAATAGAGGAAACAACTATCACATAAGTCATGGAGAAGGTCTACCAACAAGATAACCTAGCAGGGCATTCCTGTCCTCTGCAGGAATATAAAATAAAGTAATTTTGGATTGATCACTGATCAGTTCTGGTATTTCTCTTCCATTTAATAATGAATTTGAAGATGATAGAGCTTTCCGTACAATAGAGAACTAGTACATCAGAATTTTCAGAGAGATCAATTAATTAATCAAAGTTCATTCGTAGAGAAATATAGGAGATTGACAGAGAGAACAATCAATAGTTTTATCATGAAGGAAAACACCATTACCTTGAGCTTTCGAGTAAAATCCTTCAATCCCATCACTAAGGGCGTTGCAGAGCTTCAAGTCTGTCAGGAAGATTGATCCGAACTGGCGTAAAACTTTATGGGGTTCTGACGTTGAAGGTAAAAAAGGGTTCGGAAGGAGTAAAACTATGGAAAAGCCTAGAGATTTGAAACACTTTTGCTTTTTCTCAATTCTCATAGCTGTTCAAGTCAAGATGAACTCTGAAGAATGAAAAACCGTCTCCGCCCTTCCGTTATTAATGGGTCACTTATTAATGGTGGTGGCAGTGATTTATTAGCCATAACCCATAAATAACCTCCATTAGCGATAAAATTCGGAAAACAAACACAAAACGGTCGACTTTTGGTCTGTGTAAACAAATCACGAATTAAGCATGATACTAGTCCATCTGCACGGATTCTCAGAATTTTTAGGCGTTTGGTTGGTGCAACTGTGCTACCGTGGCCTTTGCTTTATTTTAGGTTCATTTGCTAAACACCTCTATAGTTTCGTAGGTTTACTAAAACATCCCCTATACTTTCCAATCGATTTACTTGGAGTTTAGATCTGTGCCCCACAATGTCACACAGCACATCCATGCCATGTACTGGGAACATCGCCTGATAATAGTATCAAAATCGATGATATCATTATCGGAAGATATTTCCAATACATAGCGCGGATGTATTATGGGACGTTGTGGGGCACAGATCTAAATTCATTTACTTAATCAACATTCCATTCAGAACCATTTGTATTTACATGATGATCATGTGGCTGTAGTATTCCTACCACTTCATATCAAGCTTTTAGAAAGAAATAATATTTGGTTTGGGATATCTACAAACAATATTTGAAAAAAAAAGTATTTGGGTTCTTTGTCTCCAACAATGTATATCCTTTCTTTAAAATTTTAAACAAAACTGATTGGAGTAGTTGCCCACGTTTTGTCCGGGGCAAGAATGATATTTTCATTTTTAACTTAGTTTGTTTGAATGGAAGTATAAAGACCGTGTAATTTGCACCCATGGCTGCATTGGATGCGTGAACCCACCAATAAAAATGTTACACGCAACATTTAAAATTGATCCTAAAGTTAACGTGATTTCATCCGTTAGCGCCTCGAACCCAATCGAACCGGAAACAAAAGGAATAACTTCTTTCAGGGAATTTCATTTGAACTCCCTTTCATTTCCTCTTTTCCTTTGAGCCCTAATAATGTGAAATTCACCGGCCGGAAAGAAATCCAGCGGTAAGCAAAAAAAGGGTACTCTCATTCTGACTTACGAACATCCTCTTATTTCAATCTTCTTCTTTTGACCTCTATAATAAGTTTCTGCATCACAATTTCTACAATAAGTTTTAGAGTCAACTTGTGTTGGTTGTGATAATGGATCAACTGAAATTTTATTTGCTTCAGGTTGTGGTGGGTCAGATTTCAATGGTTTTATAAGCTCAGGGGTATTTTTCTGGCGGTGGTCCTGTAGGTTCTACAACTGGGGCTAGTTCATCTTGTGATGGAATCATTGTTTTGTCGGGCTTTACAGCCTCGGGTGGAGGATCTGCTAGCAAGTGGGTCAGTCTTAGCTGGCTTCTCGGTCACTATTTCGACCTTGACAGCATCTTCTATTGTTGCCTCTGTAGAGACAGGTGCTTCAACCTCTAGTAGCGGTTTCGGTCTTTCAGAGATGCTACAGACAACTGGAACTCAGAGAAACATCCCATTTTCCTAATTCACGTTTTCTGTGGTTGATTTTACAACTATATTTAAATGTGCAACACTAAAATGGACCCACTTCCTTGCCTTGTATATTTCTCCTCATGCAGGGTAAGAAGAAAAAGAAGAAGATGAATTCTTATTGTTGTGGGTGGCTACCGCATTCATGGATGCCAGTGGGTGGTGAATGGCCAATGGGATGCTTCTTTATAGTAGGGCTCGGAGGAGAGGAGGAAATGGGAGGGAATTTGAATGGAATTCTTTGAAAGAAATCATTCTATGATTTTTTTTTGTCTTTTTGTGAGTGATTCAACCAAGTTTCTTCAACTACGTTGAACACCCGTTGTGTTATCAGAGTTTCAAAATGTTTATATATAATAACATTTTTATTGGTGGGTTCAAGCGTCCAGGGCAACCATGGGTGCACAGGAACGTGGAGTCGGAAGTACATCATTTGGAAACGGTAGGGGAAAATGTTTTAATAAAATGCAAATTATAGGGTAGGTTTTAATAAAATGATGCTTTTGAAATGGTCAAACCATCCTCAACTTTCAAATTTGACTCTAATATCATTGGTCCACGTTACCTTTACACGTAAAGAATATTTGATTGTAATCGTACGAAGAAGACCATGTATGGTCAAACTTCCCAGTGGTGGGTTGGTAGAATAATGAAGACTATCAATGGACGTGTAGGACATATGCACTGCTTGGAAGCGTTTAAGGGCCCAAATCCCAATTCACTGAGGGGTTTGGTTTTTCGGTCTCGAGCGACGAAAAGAACTCTTGATCACACACTACCCACCAACGACTAGGAAGTCAGCTATTGGTAGTTAGATTTTGAGTAATCAAAATTTACTTTCTACTTTTTTTTCACCTCCCAATTTGACTGAATAATTTGAATACCAAAATGTCAAACACTTGAAAATAATCCGTTTTACAAATCTACTCATCTAGAATTGGTGAAAACATTTTTAGCAAAAGAAATTGAGAAGTCAAATCTGTATGACAAAAAAAGGAATGGAAGTGAAGTTCAATGCTCATTGTCGTTCTCGACTCTCCAAATTCCAAATGCAAAGGGAAATGTTTGGTTTTGGGTAAGAAGATACATAAAATAGTAGCATTTGTGGGGTTGGTTAATTTTAGGTTGTTTCTGAAGGAAAAATCTAATGGTGCAGGGAAAAGACATGATACGGGAAAGGCTTTGACCAATTAAGCCCTCCCTCAATGAATTTTGATGAAAACCCACCCACCTGGTTGATTGATTATAAGTTTTTCTGGTATGATCATGTTTTTCCACATCATAGTTGAACCTATGTTTGAATAATAGTTTCTTTTTATACTTTTTTAAAGTACAAAAATATCAAGTATTATAAGCTTTTACTTTGTGCTCTATGCTATGAAAATTGTTTGGTAAATGACCAAATATTGCTGTCTTTATAATAATAAATATCATTATGCTATGTAAAAGCCTTTACTCATATGATTGCACTAGGTTGAAGTTGAATTGAGGGTAAACCTAGGCCTAACCCTAAGGCTATGTTTGCTTTGAAGGAAAAAGTAGGGAAAGAAAAGGAAAGGAAAGGAAGGAAAACCTTTACAAATCTTGTATAACTTTTCTTACATTTCTCTTCTTTTCCCTACCTTTTCCTTCAAACCAAACATAGCGTAAAGGTTCAAACCTCATGTTTGGACCTAACCCAACTCAAGGTCAAAACTCAAGTTTGTTAACTCAGGGCCAATTAGAGCTTACCCGAACACAACTCGGGGCTTAGGTTGGATCGGGCTAGTCTTAGTTAAGTTTGGGTAGGTTTGTCTGGTTTCAAATAATTTATGAACATAAATTTGTATGGCTATTTTTTTCTTTGTCTTTACGGGCTAATACATATAAGTAGAACTAATCAAACCCGTATGATGCATGATATTTGTTTAGTAAATTTGAAGCAAAAAGGAGTTATTGGACATTTAGACTAGGTAGAGCAATTCTTAGTCCAATTGAAGCCTTAATAAGGGCATTATGGTGATAAGCTAATTAAATTGATTTAGTAATTAATATAGGCATTATAGTAATTTTACACCAAATGTCAAATAGAAGTTTTTGTAGAGGTCAAATTATAGGGGATGTTTAAGTAGTTTATCCATTTCTTAATAGAATCTATTAATTTTTATTGGTAATAATTTTCGTTAATAATTAACAGTGATTACTAAATACCCTTAACAGTAATTATCTAAAATGTCTAGCAATTAGGCAAGGCACTCCCTCCCTGTCCCTACCCCATAGCTAAGATACCCTACCCCCACATCATCCTTAGTGGTAGGGTGGGTTTGGGGCAGAGCACCCACTCCCTAGTGGGGATGTGGAATCCCTAAATTTTCCTTTCCCTGGAGTAGCCCACCAAAAATACATCTAATTGGGCCTATTTTAGAAATAGGATTATGGGAATGTAGGGGTATTTTAGAAATTAGATATGGCAATTTGGAAGTATTTTAGAAATAGAATTATGGGATCCTAGGGTTTTAGGAGTTTGGGAGAAACTTAGGTATACTTTAGAAATCAATATTAAATATAAGGATACTAACTTACCATCGAGTTTGGGGTAGGGATGGAAATTTTCCCTATCCCTGTCAAGTACTTGCCTTCCTCGACTGATGGGATTAGAGATGGAGATAACCTTGACAAGGACGGGGACGGGGATGGGGAGTGAATCCCTATCAACAATCCCAGAGAAGAATTCAGAATTTGGGGGTGAAGAAATGGATGCTTCGACCTTACCCCAACAATCCTTTATGTGGATAATGAAATTAGAGAATTTATAGAGCGACCCTTATAGGGTAACAGATAAAATATTTATAGAAAGGCCCTTGTAGGGATGAAGAGAAAATAATAAAATAAGAGATACAATACAATAGGAACTATAGTAATATGATACATCAATAAGTTTCTTCACACTCCCCTTCAAACTGATGTAGAGGCATGAGCACCAGTTTGCTTACTAGGAAAAAGTGTCTGGACCTCGTCATGGCCTTTGTGAAGATGTCAACAACTTGAGGGAGAGAGATAGAATTCGCAAGAAACATGTTGCAGATAAAGTGGCAGTCCACCTCAATATGCTTTGTCCTTTCACGGAAGACAGAATTAGAGGCAATTTTAATAGCAGTAGTGTTGTTCGCATACAGAAGGGTGGGTGTAGGAGAGGAATGACCCAACTCCTAAAATAAAGATTGAAGTCAATCAACTTCACTACAAACAGATGGCATTGCCCTATACTCTGCTTCCGTAGAGGACATGGAAACAGTCTATTGTTTATTGCATTTCCATGATATTAGAGAGTCACCCATGAAGACACACCACCTAGTAGTGGAGTGGCATGTGTTGGGGCATCCAGCCCAATCTACATTAGCATAGGTCCTCAGTTGGATAAAAGAAAATGAAGAGAAGAAAAGACTTTGGGATAAAGAGCCCTGAACATAGCGGATGATCCGATGCACCGTAGTTAAATGAGGTTGACAAGGGGCAAAGACAAATTGACTAACAACTTGAACTGCATGTGAG